CTCTCGGAAGCATCGCCCGAGCCCAGCCCCGGCCCCCGCCGGCCTGGAGGCGCCAGCGGGCGGCGGGCTGACCCCACTCCGAGGGCCCGGCCGTCCCTGCCCTGGCCCGGAGCCCGGCGCGCTCAGACCCCGAGGCCTCCCGCGCCCCGCCGGGCCCGCGCGCCCCGCCGCCCACCGAGCCCGCACTCCCCGCCCGCGGTCCCCGGCTGCGCGCCCGGCCCAGCTCGGCCGGCGGGACTCACCTCCACAGCCCGGCGGCGCCGCCTCAGTCCTCGCGGCCCGGGCAGCGCGGCCCCGGCCCCCGGGCCCGCTCGCCCCCGCCGGCCGATCCACAACTTCTGCCTCCGGAGAGCGGCAGGGCCCCTCTCGCCGCCGGCCGCGCTGCCCGGACGGCCTCCTGCGCCTCAGCCGCGGGTGCCCCGACCCCGTCCCGGCCACTGCCCGCGTCTGGCGCTCGCCTTACGCCACCTCCGTAGCGTAGCGCCCGGCCTTGGCCCCGCGGCTACGGCGCGCCCGGGGCGCACGCGGCGCTGTGAATCGCTCACACGGACTACGGCTCCCACAGGGCCGCGCGGCGCCGCCGGGGCGGAAGCGCTGGGCGGTGCCGGCGCGAAGCATGCCGGGAGTTGTAGTCCTCTGGTGGTGCCTGCCCGGTCCTCCGACCGCACGGGCCACTCCTCCTGCCCGCGCTGCTGGAGACGGCCAGGCCCCGGGCATCGGTCCCGGGGAGACGCCGCGCTCCCGGCTTATCGGGGAGTGGCTGGGACTACAGCTCCCAGAAGGCCCTGCGAGGGGCACGGAGGGGCGGGGCCTCCAACCGCCGCGCCGCGCGACCACGGCGACTCGGTCCCGGGGGTCTCGGGGGTGGCCGGGCCGGGGACGTCAGTGTCCCGCGGGGCTCGGGGAGGCTCCTGGTCCAAGGACCACGACGCCGCCCTGGGCCCGCCGTGTCCGCGAGGCCCAGAAACCCCTCCGGGCCTCCCAGGGCCTCCCCTCGCGACGCGGTGCTCGGTCCCGGCCAAGAGCGGCAGTGGCAGCGGGACCGCCCTGGCCCGAGACGCCGCCTGGCCTCGCAGCGTCGCCTGGGCACAGCCTCTCTAGGTCCCTTCCTCCTCGGCCGCGGACGGACGCCATTAAACGGCCACGCCGGGCTCAACGGGGACGCGGCCCGGACCTGGAGGAGGGAAGACGGGGCGACTCCTGGGTCCTTCCAGGCCCCCTGCTCGGGCCCGATCCAACCCCCGGAGGCCCCTTCCCGCTGCCCCGAGGCCGCTCTCCTGCCGCCAGCTGCTGGACTGGCGCTCGGGAGTGCCTGGGCGTCAAGCTCATCAGGCTGCAGGGCGGGAAGGGCTGCCGCTCGCGGGGGCAGATGAGGAGCCTGCGAATGCACCGGCCCTGCGGGAGAGGGAGACGCGGGGCAGGGCTGCTCAGCTGAGATTCCGGAGACCGGCCGTGGTCCGATTCTGTGGGGAGCTTTACAAGTGGGAGGTGGGGTGACGATGGCTCCGGGCCGGAAACTCTGCGCCAATCTCAGCAAGATCTACGAGGCCAGGGCCGGTGCTCCTCAGAGGATATTCATGCTCCAGGAAAGCCAAGGTTGGGCCTCCGTCATGCTCTAGGTGCTGCCGTAGGGACATCTGTGTCCCACGTGGAGCTCGGCTTCTAGCTGCAGTCAGGGCAGAAGCTGGCAGGAGGTTTACTTCTGTCCTGGGAAGCTTTTGGTAAGAATACTTCATTCCTGTGTCTTGGACATCTCCTAGGTCTGCTGCCCACTCTGTGAAGACACGCAGGGCAGCTGGATGTGCCGTGTGTTCCCAGCCTATATCCATGCCAAGGCATCCCAAGGGCAGGAAATGCCTCCCCAGGGACCAGCGGGGTTCTGGGGGCACGGAGGACTGCAGGGTGAGAGCTGGCTCTCTTCTGCAACCTGGACAAGGCTCTAGGACGCTGTCCTCCCCAGCTTCCTCACCTGCACGGCAGATTACGGGCCAAGGGTGGCTTTAGAACCACGAGAGGACCCAGTCCAGGGCTGAGTGAGGGCTCAGTGACTGCAGCTTTCCTTACCTTCCCAGTCCTTCACTGGCACTGCCTAGGGTGGCAATCTGGCCAGGGGCCAGTGGTCTAGCCAGCAGAAGGTTCATGGTTTTAAACCACCCAACCAGAGAAACAGCTACAGTTGAGCCTGTTGATCTGACGCCAAGGCCCCTGCCAGCTTGTTGCAGAATGGCCATTTCGGGCCGGTTTGGCTAAGCCAGGCCCACTTGGGGTGAGGAAAGGGTGGGAGCACCCCAGCTCTGCCGAGTAGGAGGCCTGTCGTGGTGAAGGAGGAAGCCCATTCACCCAGAAGAGGGCCTCAGGAGACGTCTTCAAGATGACTGAGGTTTCCCTGCACAAGGGTGCTGGAGGGAAGGGGTGTGACGAGAGAAGAGGGTCTCCCATGCACCCGTGAGGCCGCCTGTGACTGTCTTGAAGATGAGCCACAAGACATCAGGCACACAGGCATGAACTGTGAAGGACAACACAGCAGATGGTAAGTGACCAGACTACCAGACCACTGACTGAACCCTGCTCCGTGCCAGTGCAGTACTGGCCTGAGCGAGGACACAACCTCCACATCCAGACAGGCCTGAGAAGCTAACGCAAGTGCCCAGAAGAGCCAAGGGGCACGCCATGAATCCCCACTGGAGGAGAGGAGGATTGGGAGCCCCAAACAAAGAACTGAGGCTGGAGGCATCTGTTCAGGCACCGGAAAAAGCCTCACGTGAACACAGCAGCAAACAGCAGACCCCAGTGCCAACATAGAGCCCAGACTTGGGCACACAGGGAGCTTGGCATGGGGCGTGAGGGTGCCAGGGGCCACAGGCAGCTGACTTGTGTGCTCTGGCGCCGTGCTCAGTTTTGATGGGATGCCCTGCAATCACCTGCTTTGTGAGCCACACAGGCCTGGGTCAGACAGACAGAGTGAGACCTGTCGCTACTTAATTAGGCAGGTACGGTGGTGCGTGCTTGTGGTCCCTGCTACTTGGGAGGCAGAGACAGGAGCAGCACTTGAGCCTGGGAGGTCGAGGCTGCGGTGAGCTGGGATGGCACAAAGCGCTTCACCTGGGTGACAGAATGAGCCCCAGTCTCAAAACAAGAACAGGTGAAGTTCTTGCCCTTCTCTGGGCCCTCCAGATTCCTAGACTGCCAGCAGGTGGGGGGGGCAGGGTGCCTCTGGGGGGCCGCTGAGGGGGTCAGTCCTTCCTTCCTAGACCTGTCCTTCAGCGGAGGCAGGCTAGGGCAGGCCTCATACGAGCGGCCATGCACCCACATCAGGGGGTCTTCTTCCAAGGCAAGGACAGAGCCACTCCTCTCCACTCTGCCAGGCAAGACTCCTTAGTGCTCTTCCGTTGGGCAGAACTGAGTAAGACTCAGAGCATTCACTGTCAGGAGCCAGCCAAGGACAGGCTCTGCCTTGGGAGACTTAGCAAGCCCAGTGGCCAGCCCAAACGCTGCTCAGGTGGGGGTGGGAAGCCAACTTCCCGGGGGTGTGCAGGTTTCTGCACACGTCCACCAGGTAAGCACACCTGCACATGGGCCACCACACCCTGCTCTCGCTCACCCACAGGGTCTCCGGCAGCCCTTCCGGAGTCTGTTTCCATTTCATCCCGTCTCAAACTCCTTTGGGCTGGGGACCCCAGTGGGCCAGCACAGTGACAGCATCGTTTGCTAGTGGAGCCAGGTGGACTGTGGACTGGGCCCATGTTTAAAATCTAGAGTGGAAATGAAGCTGAGGTGCTCCTTGACCACAGTGGGGTATCAGGACGACGCTGCCCCCCTCCCCTGGGCCTTGGCCCTGTGACCTGGAGCCATTCTGCTGCATCCGCACCGAGGGTTCAAGGACTCCTCGCTGTAGGCCACTCTCAGTCCTCCTCCAGTCACTAGTCCGCGGGCAGCAGCTGACCTGAGGGGACTGGCAGAGCTGGGTCCTCAGCCTCCCTGGGCCTTGGTTTGTCTGTATCTGAGAGTGTGACGGGCAGGCGGGCAGCTTGGGTGGGGGCGGGAGAGGGAGAGCCGCAGATTCACAGTCTGCTTCCTGGATGCCGGGCCAGGTGGTCCAGGTTTCAAGGCCTATGCTTTGGGGGGAACTCCTGATCAGATGGGGCCACCTCCCCAGGCCATTCTTTGTGGCTGCAGTGGCACTGTTCTCCCAAGTTGCCCGTCTGGCTGCCCCCGTGACCTCGGGAGCCCACTCCCATCGGGCCCTGCCTTCTCGCCTTCCTGTACCTGTGGTTGGTGCTGTGTGTGTGCACGCCCCCTCTTCTGGGGGAGTTCTCCCAGCACCCTGCACATCAAAACCCTTTTGTGTTTTTTTTTTTTCTGAAACAGGGTCTCTTGCTCTGTTGCCCAGGCTGGAGTGCAGTGATATACTCACAGCTCAAGCAGTTCTCCCACCTCAGCCTCCCAGGGAACTGGGACTACAGGTGTGCACTACTTTGCCTGGCTAATTTAAAAACTTTTTTTTAAGAGATGGGGCCTTGCTATGTTGCCCAGGCTAGTCTTAAAACTCCTGGGTTCAAGCAGTCCTTCTGCCTTGGCCTCCCAAAGTGCTGAGATGATGGTGTGAGCCTCTGTGCCCTACCCCCCACTCTTCTCTTCCTCGCAGGGACATGCTGCCGCCTCTCCCGACATTGAATGTGTCCTCAGGGGCAGGGACACTGTGACCCAGAGCCATGATGCACACATCCCTGTGCTGCCCCCTTTGCCTGGACTACCCTCGATGCTGTCTCAGTAGCTCGTTAGCGTCCAGAACCTGTCCAGAAAGCTGCCAGGCTCTGCTGAGGTGCAATCCTGGGGCCTCAGAAGAGTCTTGGTCTGACCAAGCTGCAGAGCCAGGGAGGTCTGCTGCAGTCTGCGCTCAGACAACTGATGGCCCAGGATGCCTTGAGGGAAGCTTGGCCAGGCCCATGAGACTTCCACCCCACCCTGTGGGCCCCCTGGAGGAAGGAGCCGGCCTCTGCGTGTGCAGTAACAGCTTTAATCTGTGGTGGCCCCTGCCCTCCCGCATCCAGGCAGGAGGGGCCGTTTCTCGGGGAATTAGAGCAGGAGCATGTGCAGTTGGTGCTCGGCGTGTTTCCCACACCGTCTCCTGGGAGTCCATGTTTACAGTTACAGCACTGCTGAGTGGTCAGCAGAAACAGGACACAGCCATGTCACCAGGGCCGGACCTGGGCATAGAGAGGCAAGGTGCCAGTATTTATATATTATACATATATATATATGTATATATATATATATATTTCATGTGTTTACACAGATAGTTTTCTCTCTTGAAAGTATTAAAAAATTGATCAACCTTCAATCTATAAAAAATACCTACTCTACATGATAGAAAAATCTCTTCCAAGTTTACACTGATTTACACCCAAGGCTTTCCCCAAATGTACAACAGGAGGCGACCTCTGACATCCTGGTGTGGAAGGCGGTGGATGCGGGGCCACACACGTGTGCACCACGTGCACATGTGCACATGCGCACACACAGCTGGTGGCCAGTCTTGGTGATGGGGTCTTGGCCCACCAGGGAATGCTGGGGCCTCGGGCAGGCCCACAGCCTTGCAGGATGACTCCACTGCGCCTGGGAGTGCAGGCCCGGGGTAGGCCCACTCCTGCTCTGCTGAGAGCCTTCCCTGCCGTCTCTCTGCTGCAAAATGCACCCTCGGGAAGAACAATGATTTCTAAGTTAGACACCCAGAAGACAGGGTTCCCAATGTTTGGACTCTGGCCTGGGAAGTGCGTGGAGAGGGTGTGGCCGCACCTGTGGAGAAGCAGCACCTGCACGGGGGAGCCAGAGGGGCCTGCAGCATCCACCTCACCCAAGGAGAGAGCTCTATACAGCCAGACTTTTGGGTCCCGATGTCAGAGTGGAGGGCCCCAGTGGCTCCTGCCCAGCCCCCATAGGCAGTCAGCGCCCCCAAGGGCTACTGCAGTGAGGACTGGGCCAAAGGATCGGCTGCATGGCCTGGAGGCCCCAGGGCCCAGAGCTGGACTAAGCTGACCATATCTGGCTGAGCAATGGCCTGAGTAGCACAGGGAGAGCTGGGGGATACACCAGCCTTGCCCGCCTGTCCTTCCTGCACCACCATGTCTGAGGTGAGGGTCCGGGAGCCCACTGGCCATCAGAAGCAGCCCAGCATGGGCAACACGGCACCAGGGCACTTGTGCGAGTGGTGTAGGCAGCAGCACCCCTGGAGGGACCCGTTTTCTTCCATTCTTCCCAATAGGGCTGCACGTGGGAAGAGGGCCCACCACAAGGAGGCCACAGTGGGGCTCACCCCACAGCTCTGCACAGAGAGGCTCTCCAGTCCATCCCGCTGAACCAAAGTGTAGGCGTTCACAGCCAGGCTGACCTAGGACTAAGAAGGTCAGCACTGACTGACGGGCAGCCCTGCCACCCCCTCACCCTCCATGGGCCCCGGGCCCGGGGACTTGCCTTTCTCCCTCCTCTCCACCACCCTCTGCCCCTTGAGCAGCCCGTCTTCAGTGGCCCCAGCCCAGCTGCACGAGGGCTCCCTGCATGCCCTGGGCTCTGTCGGCTGTGGGACCTGTGGGTCCTGACTCCTCATGGTGTGACGGGGCCACTCCTGGGTGTTGGAGTCCGGAATCCAGCCCAGGCTGGGCCTTCCTGCCTCTACTTGACCTCCAGGATGGATGGGTTGGTCTCCATAATGGCCACGATGATCCTGTCAATGTAGTCTTGCAGGCGGAAGTTGATCTCCTCCTGCTTCTGAATTGCCTCCATGAGCTGCAGGGCAAGCAGGTGGTCAGAGCTGAAGTGCACAGGCCACAGGCCACCAGGCATAACCACAGTGCACAGACAGTGCACAGACCGCAGACCCCAGGCCGCAGTGTGCAGGCGGGGGATGTGTTACCTCATCTCGGGAGACAGAGCTGATCTCTGCAGCCAGGGACTCAGAGAAGGCTGTGGAGAAGAGGCTCTTGGCGCCCTGGATGCTGAGGGTAATGATCTGCCCGTTCAGCTCCTCGTTTTGCTCCTTCAGGTTGCGGTTGTCCTGGGAGGGCACAGCAACATCATTATTGGGCTGGGGCCCCTGCTGGTGGCTGAGCAGGGACAAGGACTGGCCAGGGAACATGGCCTCCAGCTCAGATGCTGGCCCTCCACGTCCCACCCCTTGCCAACCAGGCTTCTGGAAGCCTCTGCCTACCTGCTTCAGCCTGCGGACCTCCTGCTCCAGCTCGCTCTCCCGGGCGCGGCTGTGGTACTCTTGCAGGCCCATGCTGCTGCTGCGGCCCCGCCGCTGCTCGGCCTCCAGCCTGAGGAGCTGCAGGTGCTCCAGCTGCTTGCGGAGGTCCTCGATCAGCTGCAGGCCAAGGCGGGGTGAGCTGGGGGGCCTGGGCTCCCATCGGCCACCGTCAGCCATCACGTGGCTGTAGAACCTTGGGGTTGATCTGGCCACCATCTCTCAGGAAGACCACACACACCAGCAGCTATGCCCAGAGCGGCACAGCCAAGAGCTGGCGTCCAACAAAGGCTCCCCGCGGGTCGAGGGGGCGCCCAGTGCTGGGCATGGGGCTGGGGGTGGGGCGCTAGCTCACCTCCTGGGTGGCCTCCTTGTCCCTCTGGAACTGGTGCCTCTCGTGACTCAGCCTGTCCCCCATCCTCCTCTTGTTCTCCTGCTCTTCGCTGAGCCGCAGCGTCAGCGACTCTATCTCATCCACCAGCTTCTGCTTCTCCTGCAGGGGTGGACACCTGTCCTGGATGCGCGTTGCCCGTCCACTTGCACATGCAGGTTGCCCTGGCCGTCTGTCCCTCCCATCTCTATGTCTCCCAACAGCAACATGGTGGCCCCTGTGCTTGGAGCACGACGGGGCTGGGTCTCAGTTTTCCTACCTCTCAGTGGAGGTCAAGGTCCCCTGCCTCTGGGGGTAGGCACATACACAGGCCGCAAGGGCTATTTTTCGTGAGGGGCAGGAAGGACCTTTGTGTGGACAGAACCTGACTCAGTGACTGTGGGGAGCTCCAGTTGGGCCCAAGTGTTCTGAGAACGCCCTCTGGTTTCGGAGCTTCCCAGAGGACACCTGGTGAGCTGGGGGAGGGAGGCCTGGCAGTGACCAGCTGGACTCTGGGAGCCCCATGTGCAGCCTCTGCCTCCACATCTGCGGGGGCGGGGCATGAGTGGTTTGCTGACGTCTTCCCCTTGGAGGACACTTCCCAGATTCAGACCCCTCGGTCTATCTAGGAGTGAACCTCTGGGCCCTGTGGATCGTGAGTCCCTGGGGGAGCTGCAGGCAGAGCATGGCCCAGTGTCTTCCAGCAGCCTGGGTCCTGAGACGCCCCTGTTCCCTCACACACAGCACAACGCAGCCCAGGGGTTGTCATCTTGCTCAGGACAGAGCCCAGGGCAACCGCGGTGCCCACAGGAAGGGCACAGCCTGGGCCTGCTGGTCACAGCTCGACTCACCTCCTCCAGGCGCTCAATGTTGGCCTTCAGACAGGGTGTGCAGGATCGGAGCTCACTGTTCTCCTCATCCAGCTGCTGCAGCCTGGGACACAATAATGAAGCTGAAACTCATTCCAGGAAGTGTGCCTCTGCTGGGCCAGGGTGCCCCATGTCTCAGGAAAACCCTACTGGGGCTGCCCTATGGCCCACAGATGCCCCCAAACGAGCAGGGGCAGTCCTTAGGCGCCCACCCAAGTGCTCCAGGGCAGAGCTTTTCCGTAATCCATGTTTTTTAACTATTATTTTTTTCACGCAGGCTGGAGTGCAGTGGTGCAATCTCAGCTCACTGTAACCTCAGCCCCATGGGCTGAAGCAATTCTCCTGCCTCAGCCTCCCGAGTGGCTGGGACTACAAAGCACCATCCTGTTACCCTGCCACCCCTTCTAATTCAACCCAACCTGCACCTACAACCAGAATTTGGCCACCATGCCTGGCTAGTTTTTATATACTTTTTTTTGAGACAGAGTCTCAATCTGTCACTGAGGCTGGAGGGCATTGGTGCAATTTCAGCTAGCTGCAACCTCCGACTCCCTGGTTCAAGTGATTCTCCTGCCTCCGCCTCCCAAGTAGCTGAGACTACAGGCGCCCACCACCACGCCCAGCTGATTTTTGTATTTTTAGTAGAGATGGAGTTTCACCACGTTGACCAGGCTGGTCTCGAACTCCTGATCTCAGGTGATCCACCTGCCTCGGCCTCCCAAAGTGTTGGGACTACAGGCATGAGGCACCGCGCCCGGCCTTCTCTGTTTATTAATAATCATTTATTTGTGTCACTATGGACCGTCCAATGCTATCACTATCAGTTTGTTGTTGTAGCTGTCCCAGCTTTGGCATCTGGCCCGTCCCTCTGACATACCCTCAGTGTCGGTGCTAATGGGGCTTTTTAGTGTAAGCACCTCATTCTCAGGTACCATAAGTTGCTGCAGGCTCAGCCTGCATTCTTCCTGTCCCAGCCTCAGAACTGGCCATTTCTCCAAGGAGCCGTGGATATTCTCCATAATCCAGCTGTCCTCACCATCCTGTCACCCTGCCATCCCTTCTAATTCAACCCAACCTCCACCCACACCCAGAATTTGGTGTCAGATGGAGACCCAGGGGCAGCACAGGGCTGGGCGGGAAAGGCTTCAGGTGTCCTCAACACAGGAGGGGACCTGCTCTTGCCCGACGATTGAGACGAGGAGCACAGCAGATGCAACCCTTCCCAAGAGCACTGCCAGCCTCTGCGCCACCGGGAAGGCCACGGGGTGCCTGGGACAGGAGCCTCCAGGACTCATCGGGGGCCTGTCAGACCCTTGGCCACAGGCGTCGGTCAGGAAGACACAGTGGCTCCGTGGTGCCACTCTGGTGTGTGTGGTGCCCTGTGGTCCAGACTCCTCTTTCAGGACGGGGACCCTGTTGGTGAGCCTCACCTTTACCCAGCCTCCACGGTTCCCGGTGCCGCCCACTGCTGAGCCTTCATGTTCCGGTACTTCTGGGTTGTGCAGCTGCTGATGCGGGGTGCTGTGTGCTTTCGGGGCTACACCTTTGCCATCTGCCTTTCCTGTGGTTTTGCTGCGTGCAACATACTAAGTTCCCTTGTCCACCTCTAGCCCTAGAGTCCTCATGGCTCTACTACAGCTACTTTCTCCTTCCAAAGTAACACTTGCGGCCGGGCGTGGTGGCTCAAGCCTGTAATCCCAGCACTTTGGGAGGCCGAGGCGGGTGGATCACGAGGTCAAGAGATCGAGACCATCCTGGTCAACACGGTGAAACCCCGTCTCTACTAAAAATACAAAAAATTAGCTGGGCATGGTGACGCATGCCTGTAATCCCAGCTACTCAGGAGGCTGAGGCAGGAGAATTGCCTGAACCCAGGAGGCGGAGGTTGCGGTGAGCCGAGATCGCGCCATTGCACCCCAGCCTGGGTAACAAGAGCGAAACTCCGTCCCCCCCCAAATAAAAAAAAAAAAAAAAAAAAACAAAGTAACACTTGCATTTTTGTTCATAATTAGAAAAGCAAATTATGTTTTAATTCTATTGAATTTCAAAACTACAGATAAACAAAGAGAAGAAAATAAACAGCTGGCAGCGTCACGCAGAGCAGCTCTGCCCTCCGGGGGCCTGACCCCCTCCTTTCCCCCTTGTCCTGGCCTCTCGCCATCTGTCACACACACTCGGGTCTGCCCAGGGCTGGGGTCGGTCTTTCTGCCTTCTCTCCTTTCATTATCAGGCCAGGGGGAGTCTGCCTATGGTTCCAGAAGGACGAGCTGTGCTACATGGCACGAGTGAAGGCTTCTCTGGGTTTCCGTGGCTCACACGCTGCTAGAAAGCACCACACACCAAGGCCATGCTCACCCAGGTCACTCTGTGTCTCTTGACAGGGCACGTCCCCCAACGCCGGGGGTACAGCAGGACACATCAGGGCCACATTCACCCAGTTCACTCTGTCCGTGACGATGGGCCACGTCCCCCAACGCTGGGAGTACAGGAGGGCACATAAGGGCCCATTCACGTAGTTCACTCTGTCTCTGATGATGGGTCATGCCCCCAGTGCCGGAGGTACAGCAGGTGCCATAAGCTGCACATCAAGCCCTGGGCTCCGTGTTTGCTGCCACTGTGGCACCATTAGCCTTCACTCCAGCTCTCTGCAGCCTGCCAGGGGCTCCCACACTTTCTGGAGGCCCCACTCCCAGAGGTACCTGGCCTTTCCTAGAACCTCTCCTGGGCCCGGTGTCCTGAGATTCAGATTTCTGCCTGTGACTTCCGCACAGCCCCATCCTGCTGATGACACACATTTTTCCTTCCCCATCCCTCCACAAGGATGTCCAAAGTTCCAGCCCCCGCGACCCCTCCATCTTCTCTGTGCCCATTCAGCTTTAACTGTTGCCTCTACTGTGGCCCCACTCCCAAAATCCAGCTGTTTTCTCAGCACTGCAATTGTGTAGACAGCCACCCCTGTTGTTCCTAGGGGGTTCTGAGGTAGGTGCTGGGGGGTCCTGCCTCCAGATCCTCTGCTCCTGAAGGAGCCTGCACTGAGACACTGTCACTGCACTGGCCAGAGTCTTCCTATACACCAGATGGGCAGAGGGTAAGCTGTGGACAGTCCCCAAGATGCCAGAGGCCCCTGTGCTGGGCTGACTGCAGATTGCTGACCTGGGGCTGCAGGGGCCTCTGAGGGCCTGAGCAGCCCTGAGAACTACAAGGTTCCTGGTGGCTAGCCCACGAAGCTGCAGGAGGCTGACAAGGTCCAGAACATGGTGGCACTGACCCCAAGGGCACGGGGCGGGCAGCCGGCTTGCTCACAGAGGCAGCGACACGCAGCCCTGCTTGCTCCCTGAGGGCCTCGTGAGACCCGTCTCTTGTGCCCCTCCACACCGGAGCAGACAGGGGGCAACTTGTCCACAAGGCTGTGCCCCAACCTCAGCCCCAGCTGAAAGGTCCCACAGGAGGTGCTCCCTGGTGCTCACAGACGAGGAACGTACCTCAATTTCGAGCCCACTCGACTGCACTGTGCCAAGGCCAGGACAGAACACTTTTTCCTGGCTGCCCTGACCTTGCTCCCCAGAAGATGGTGCCCCACTGCAGTGGCAGGCACAGAGGGGACCCCACACAGCCCTCTGAGTGCAGGCCCCTTCCTGCGACCCACTTCTGAAACTGCCTGAGAGCTCTCCTTGGATAAGGCAACACGAACTTCTTAGCTTTAAGAGCTAGGACACAAGCAAAAGAACCTGAAACCCTCTCTCATGAATAGTTAAAGCTCCTGTACTTCGAAATCGAAAAGTGGTCACTCTCAGTTTAGAAAAGCCGTGTGAGATGGCTCATGCCCACAATCCCAGCACTTTAAGAGGCTGAGTATGAAGAGGAAAACAACAGCAACAGCAAGAGGCCGAGGTGGGAGAATTGCTTTAAGCTAAGAGTTCAGAGTTCCAGCCTGGGCAGCACAGCAAGACCTCATCTCTACCAAAAAATACAAGTTATCCAGGTGTCACAAGAGCATCAGAGCATACTTGTAGCCCAGCAACTCAGGAGGCTGAGGCAGGAGGATCGCTTGAGAGCAGGGGCTCAAGGCTGCAGTGAGCCATGACAGGGACACTGCACTCCAGCCGGGGGCACAGAGCAAGATCCTATCTCAAAACAAACAGACGAACAAACAAACTGTATAGAACAGCTTCCTGCACTCTCATCACCCAGACACACAAGGAGCCCTTAGGACTGAGGCATCGTGCTCAGGACAGAGAACTCTAGATTCCTCTGATTACAGACACTTTACGTTATCTGATACCTTTTACTTTTACAGAAGATGAAGAGCCATCCCTTGCAAGTGTATCTGTAAACACACACCAGGTATCCACAGCATCAGGTCCTGGCTGTGGACTACTGGAGGCACCCTGAAGCAGTACTGTCTACTTCAATTTAGTGCCTTGCCCGGCCACGGTGGCTCACGCCTGTAATCCCAGCACTGTGGGAAGCCGAGGTGGGTGGATCATGAGGTCAAGGGATCGAGACCATCCTGACCAACATGGTGAAACCCTGTCTCTACTAAAAATACAAAAATTAGCTGGGCATGGTGGTGCACGCCTGTAGTCCTGGCTACTCGGGAGGCTGAGACAGGAGAATTGCTTGAAACCGGGAGGCGGAGGTTGCAGTGACCCAAGATTGCGCCATTGCACTCCAGCCTGGTGCCTGGCAACGGAACAAGACTCTGTCTCAAAAAAAAAAAATAATAATAATAATAATTTTTGGCTGGGCACGGTGGCTCATGCCTGTAATCTCAGCACTTTAGGAGGCCAAGCTGGGTGGATCACAAGGTCAGCAGTTCGAGACCTGCCTGGCCAACATGGTGAAACCCTACCTCTACTAAAAAGACAAAAATTAGCTGGGTGTACTGGTAGGCACCTATAATCCCAGCTACTCAGGAGGCTGAGGCAGGAGAGTCACTTGAATCCAGGTGGCGGAGGTTGCAGTGAGCAGAGATAGCACCACTGCACTCCAGCCTAGATGACAAAGCAAGGCTCTTAAAAAATAAAAATAATTTTGGCCAAGTGTGATGGCTCACACCTGGCCAAAATTATTTTTATAATCCCAGCACTTTGGGAGGCCGAGGCGAGTGGATCACCTGAGGTCAGGAATTCAAGACCAGCCTAGCCACCATGGTGAAACCCTATCTCTGCTAAAAATACAAAAAATAGCTGGGTGCAGTAGCACGCACCTGTAGTCCCAGTTTCAGGCAGGAGAACAGGTTGAACCCGGGGGACAGAAGCTGTAATGAGCTGAGACTGTGCCACTGCATTCCAGCGTGGGCAACAGAGCAAGACTTCAACTCAAAAAATAATAATAATTTTTAAAATCTTCATTATATATATATATATTTAAATTAAATTTTTTTTGGAGATGGAATCTCACCCTGTCATCTAGGCTAGAGCACAGTGGCGTTATCTCAGCACACTGCAACTTCTGCCTCTGGGTTTAAGCTACTCTCATGCCTCAGCCTTCCAAGTAGCTAAGGTTATAGGCACATGCCACCTTGCCCAGCTAATCGTATTTTTAAAAATTTTTTGTTTTTAATAATGTTATTTTTTAGATGGCATCTCGCTCAGTCACCAGGCTGGAGTTTAGTGACGTGATCTTGGCCCTCTGCTATCTGTGCCTTCCGGGTTCTCCTGCCTCAGCCCCTCGAGTAGCTGGGACTACAGCCGTGAGCCACCACGCCCAGCTGTTGGCCAGGATGGTCCTGATCTCTTGACCTTGTGATCCACCTGCCTCGACCTCCCAAAGTGCTGGGATTATAGGTGTGAGCCACCTCGACCAGCCTTAATTTTTATTTTTAGTAGATACAAGGTTTCACCATGTTGGCCAGGATGGTCTTGAACTCCTGACCTCAAGTGATCGGCCTGCCTCGGCCTGCCAAAGTGCTAGGATTAAAATTTTGAGCCACCACACCCAGCCTCCTTTATAATATATTTTAATGTAGTATCATTAATCCCCATCCTCTCTGTTTTCCTACTTTTTCTGATTCATTCAAGGCTATGTCTCCAAATGAATGTAAAAGTAATTTTATCAAGTACCCTTAAAAAAAGATTGGTATTTTATTTTATTTATTTTTTTTTTCTGAGACGGAGTTTCGCTCTTGCTACCCAGGCTGGAGTGCAATGGCGCGATCTCGGCTCACCGCAACCTCCGCCTCCTGGGTTCAGGCAATTCTCCTGCCTCAGCCTCCTGAGTAGCTGGGATTACAGGCACGCACCACCATGCCCAGCTAATGTTTTTTGTATTTTTAGTAGAGACGGGGTTTCACCATGTTGACCAGGATGGTCTCGATCTCTTGACCTCGTGATCCACCTGCCTCAGCCTCCCAAAGTGCTGGGATTACAGGCGTGAGCCACCGCGCCTGGCCAAGATTGGTATTTTAAAAAGACTGACTACATTGATTTGACATAGATTTAGAGAAACTGACACCCACATAGGGTCTGTCTTTGAACTGATCTCTTGTGACCTTTGGGAGAGTTTTAAGGTTTTCTCCACATACCTTTTTCCCTTTTTCTAAAATTAAGGTTATTCCTAGCCACTGCAGCTTTCTGGGGCGGGCAGGCTGTCGGGAACCTCGCCTACCTGGCCTGCAGGTTCTGGGATGAGTGGGCTGTTGGGAACCTTGCCTACCTGGCCTGAGGCTTTCTGAGTGGGCTGTAGGGAACCTTGCGTACTTGGCCTGCAGGTTCTGGGGTGAGTGGGGCTTTTGGGAACCTCGCCTACCTGGCCTGCAGGTTCTGGGGTGAGTGGGCTGTTGGGAACCGCCTACCTGGCCTGCAGGTTCTCGATCTCGATGCTCTTCTCCCTCTCCATCTTGCATAGGAGCTCCTTCTGCCTCCGGGTCTCTTCCAGAACCATCTCGCAGGCTCTCAGCTCCTGTTCCTTCAGCTGCTCCTCCAGGGCATTTGCTCTTGAAAGACAAAGGCAGGAGTTGAGCTGTCTCCAGGCAGGGTGTGCAGTGGCACCACCCCTGCCCAGAAGCTGTATCAGGACCTCCAGAGAACCTTTCCCCAGCCTGGAAGCGGAGATGGGAAGGGCATTCCCGAACTCTGGTCAAGGAAGGAAGCAGGGACCACACCCCAGATGGCCTCACTTCCCAAACTAAAGGCACCTGGGATGACTAGAACAGTGTCCACTGCACCCCAGCCCAGCTGATACCCACAGGCCCTGCTGGCTTGTGGCCTGTGGACCACAGCACCCAGAGGGCCTAGGCCCACCAAGTGACTGCCTCTGAGGCACTCTATATTGAAGCTAGCAGCTGTTCCACCTGCAGCCACTACATACACTGAGTGCACTCTGAGCCCAGACGCAAGAGGCCTCAGCAGGGAGCATGAAGGCACAGGGCCCAAGGACCACTCATTTCCAGGGAGTGAGTGTCTGATCAAGCAAGTGGCCTGTGGCAGTTGACCACTGAGGAACCGAGTGTGCTGGGGATGTCTGGGCTTCAGCTGCAGAAAACTCAGCTCATAACACATCTCAATGGTGCTCCGGAAGCTTCCTGAGTTGCTGGGTCCACATCGGAGACAGGCTGAGTCTGGCTGTGGCTGCTGGGCACATCCAGGCCCCAAAGGCTGTGAGGCGCCACAAGTGGAGGGGGGCCCACTCTGCTCCCAGTCTCCTACAAGCTGGGGAAGTGGGTAGAGACACCAGTCCCATCCACGGCACCTTAGAGCAGAGGCAGGGCAGGTGTCGGCTAGACCACAGGGAAAAGGGAACATTCCCACAGGGTCGGGAGACCCTGGCATTCCCTAGATCATCACAACCATCCACAGGAGACAGGACTGAACTGTCCCAAAGAGAAGGGCACAGGCCCCACCCACTGACACAGCACAGCCCATGCCCGCAAGCCCTGCCTCACACACACCCTCTTATCCTGTGGGGCCTGACACACGCCAGCGAACAGATGGCCACAGATCACCAGACACAACAGGAACGCTTTCAACAAGAAGTGGCCGAAGCAAACACCAGGCAAGTACCCCAGAGAGACATGTCACACGGGAGACGGCAGGGAAAAGGCCCCAAAGCTAGCACAAGCCATCACTCTCCGTGAGCTGAGAGCCACAGCTGCAGTGTCAGGGCAGTCTGCTACACAAGAGACAAATAAGGAAGAGCTCCCAGGAATTGAAAGCATGGGGAGAACAATGTAAAAATCCGATTAAGATGCCAGGCTCACACCTATAATCCCAGCACTTTGGAAGGCTGAGGTGGGTGGATCACCTGAGACCAGGAGTTTCAGACAAGGCTGGCCAATATGGTGAAACCCCGTCTCTACTAAAAATTCAAAAATTAGCCGGGTGTGGTGGCGGGTGCCTGCAGTCCCAGATATTCGGGAGGCTGAGGTATGACAATCATTTGAACCCGGGAGGCAGAAATTGCAGTGAGCAGAGATTGTGCCATTGCGTAACACCCTGGGCGACACAGCAAGATTCTGTCTCAAAAAAAAAAAAAGAAAGAAAAAAGAAAAAACCTAAAAACCAGGTGCACAGCACTGCAAATAATACAAGTATTATTCCCACCCAAGTATCTAGGGTGGGAAACAGAAGTCATGGAGAGCAGCAAGACTCAGCAGCACCAGGCATGGGGTCAGAGGTCTTCAAATTCTCCGGGAATCCTATTTCTGACCTAGAATTTTATGCCCAGCTACACTATGGATTGGAACGGGGTGGGAGGAATAAGCACTTCCAGACAAGCAGTTCTCAGAGCATCTGGCTCCTGGGCTCCCTTTTCCAGGCAACTATCAGTGATGTTCTCAGAAAATGAGTCGGCAAAACACAAGAAAACGTGCAACCCAGAAAATAGATACTCAAACGCGGGAGAAAGCACTTGGAATTCCTAGGATGGCGGTGGTGCAGCAGGGCTAGCGAGCAGAAAGCTCTTCAGTAGCAATGTCAGATGACACTGAAAACGGGAAAAGTGTTGTTTAGGACAGCACAGGTGAGCACCAGAGAGAACAGCCACAGGAACTGAACGTGGCCAGGGCTGTGGCTGTGGCTGTGGCCGTGGATAAACAGCGGGTGGAGCAAGGCAGGAGTGTGGACTTCACACCACACACACAGGGAAAACTGATGAACGTACTCCAGACTCAAATGAAACCTTGACAGTCAGCTTGAGAAAGGCATCTAGGCAGGACACAGTGGCTCAGGCGTTTGAGCCCAGAATGGGCAACATGTTGAGACCTCATCTCTACAAAAAATTTAAAAATTAAGCCAAGCACAGTGGTGACTCATGCCTGCAGCACTTTGGGAGGCTGAGGTGGGCGGATCACGAGGTCAGGAGTTCAAGATAGGCCTGGCCAACATGGTGAAACCCCATCTCTACTAAAAACACAAAAATTAGCTGGGCATGGTGGCTCACACCTGTAGTCCTAGCTACTTGTGAGGCTGAGGCAGAAGAATCGCTGGAACCTGGGAGGCGGAGGTTGCAGTGAGCCGAGATCACGCCACTGAACTCAAGCCTGGGAGACAGAGCAAGACTCCATCTCAAATAAAATAAAATAAAACAGCTGGGTGTGGTGGTGCATACCTGTAGTCCCAGCTACATGGAAGGCTGAGGCAGGTGGGTCGCTTGAGCCTGGGAGGTAGAGGCTGTAGGCAGCACTCTTCCTGAGCAACAGAGTGAGTCCCTGTCTCTTAAAACAAGTGCATCCGGTGGCCCATCTGGATTCTCCTTGGCAAGGAGGAGCCAGTGGTCTTTGGAGGTGCGGCACCCACGTAACACACTACTGGAGCACAGCCTCTTCCAGCGTGCCTGGCCCCTCTCCCCACTGTGCAGCAGGTGCTGGCGGCAGGCCCTCCTCTGCTGAGAACCTGAAGAAAAAGCAGCCGCCGCGCCCAGGGCACAAGAGAACACACTTTACTTGCTTAAAATTAAAGCAATGTGCAAGGTATGCCACAATCCCATGAGGCATTCCAGTTCTCAGCGTTCACAGGGCAGACTGATCTGAAGCTGAAGGATGGGTCAGGAATGTTAGTACCATGCAGGGTTAGGGCTTGGGGGCTTTGGGGGTGCTGACCGCAAATGCCCTGCTGCCAACACACCTGCATGCAGGCCTGTGTCCAGGTGCTCAGAGCCCTGAATCTACCTGCTGAGTGGTGATGAAGACACTGAGGCTGAACTGAGAATATGTGCAGGAGCCAGGATGTGCCCAGGCGGCTGGGCAGTGACAGAGACTCACAGGAAGAGGCTCTTCTGCAGATTCCACAGGTGCCTCTCAGGCCTCCCGGCTGACTCCTCTGCCCCCAAGAGGCTGCTTGTGCCCCCACAGTGCCCAGCTCCAGGTGGCACAGTCTGGGTGGCTGACTCCTGAGACAAGCTCATCTTACTTTGCATGAAAACGAGTACTGCCAATCGGTTATGAGACATGGTGTGCCTGGTTTGAAAAACGCTGAGAATTACCAGGTATTCTAAGAAAAGTCTGCAAACAGGAGAGGGGTAAGCAGCTCCCACTCTCCCTCTGCAAACGCAGCCGTCACACTTCACTTCCTCCCTAGCACTCCTACCCACCTGAGGTTAGACTGCACACTGTATCACGTATTCAGCAGTCTCTGCTCATTTTGCTTTCTGCTGCTGAGCAACTTTTCTCACCTGCGTTCTTCCAGGAGGGGCAAACCCCAAGTGGACCAGCCTGGTGGGAGAGCTGCACTCCCGGCCTGCTGGTGAGGCTGCGCACCACGCCCTCGTGCATTCAGTCAGTTCCTCCTGTGGGGGCCAGGTCTCAGCGGCTCCCAAGAGGGAGGCAGTGCCTCCCCTCTGGGGCCCTCTGTGTGCCTAGGGTTCCATGGACACCTCCCCTCAAGAGCACCAGTCAGAGCCTCAGGTAGCCTGCCTGCAGCCCACTGGGTAGCCTCAGGTGACCACCTGGCACCACCCCCTCAGCCGGCTCCCACACTGGGATGGACGGGTGACCAAGCCCCTGCCGTGTGAGGTAGAGAAGTAAATGGGGGCTGACAGGCGGGCACAGGAGGCACCGTGCAGGGGCCCGGGTCTCCTGGTCCAGGCTCACCTGTGCACCAGCTGCAGGTTCTCCTGTCTCAGGCGGCTGTGCTGCTCGCCAGTGGCAGCCGTGTCCTTTTCCAGCTCCAGCACACGCCTTTCCAGGAAGACGACCTTGGCAATGAGACCAGGTTTCAGGGTCAGGTAGCAGGAAGCAGAACTACCTGGGAGGCCACCCAGGGATTTTCTCAGCATAGAATCAGATCCACCCAACTGGGCTAGAGTTGGGTCCAACTTATCCTTGGAGCCCGTCCCATAAACCCACAAAGGGGTAGCTCCTAACGGAGTCAAGGGCTCGGGGAGCACTGTCATCTCGATGCCAAAAATGCACATATTGCTGCGGCTCTAAGGCCCAGGGGCCCAGGGGCACTTTTGGACTGACTGGCTCGTGGGCAGCAAGACTCAGCCCCCTACACACAGGTGGGATCTCTGCTCAGCCAGATGCAGCTCACAGAGGCAGCCCAGGCGCCCATGGATGCAAGGGATAGACAGACTCATGTCTTAGTCCCTCCCTCCCTCAGAGAATTCACAGGAAGATGAGAGTAAGACACCTGCAGAGGTAGGAGGAGTGAAGCGAGCAGAGGGGGACTCAGGATGGGTCAGCAGACTTGAGATGCTACAGATGTTGTAGGGAGGAAGAAACGGGGGTCCAAGAGGAAGTGAGCTGCAGGAGGAGGTGAGGGTGTAGAGGAGAAGGTGAGGGGGTACAGGAGGAGGTGGGGGGTACAGCAGGAGGTGAGAGGGTACAGGAGGTGGGGGGTATAGCAGGAGGTGCGGGGGTAGAGGAG